AGAGTCTAAATAGGTTGAGTAGATTTCAGTGGATGAACTTGCACTGAGGGACATCTTGGTACACTAACTTGACTCAACAGACCTTAACATATGTGATAGAATGCATTAAATCTGGTGGGGTGGGCTATGGAGATGTGTGGATGGGGGAGGGATATAAAGATGATTAAGATGTTTTGTATGAAATGCACAAATTTCAATAAAAATATACATTAAAGATGGGTAAAAAATATAAACTGACAGTAAGTGAAAACAATAAGCATATTTCTTTATAAAACAAAAAATAATAGTAAAAAAAAACCCCTCAGACTTATCTGAAATCTTTTTGAGCTGGTTTGAGCATTATTGGAGTCATATACTCCATTCCTAGAGAAACTGCTATCAGGACACATTACCAATTGCAGTGACCCCTATAATTTTTCATCTTCATTGTCAACTTGACTGCATTTAGAATCACTTAGAGGACAAACCATTGGGTATGCCTGTGAAGGTTGTTCCAGGGAAGTTTAACTGAGGAGGGATGATCCACCTTGAATGTGAACAGCATCACCCCATGGGCTATGGTCCCAGACTAAACAAAAACCAGAAAGTGAGTTGAGCACCAAAATTCATCTCTTTCTGCTTTCCAACTGTGTACATAATGTGACCCGCCACCTCATGGTCCTGCTGCCATGTCTTCCCCATCATGATGGACTGTATCTTTCAAACTGTGAGCCCAAAAAAACCCTTTGTTGGGTAGGCGTGTTATCTGAGGGAACTAGAACTGAACCCCCAAACCCCAAGAGACTCAGACGGGGAGGGTCTAGGCAAGGACACCGAGGACACTGGGAAATGCTGAAGACATGGGGAAGCACTGAGCACACTGGGAAGCACGGGGCATGCTGGGAAGCAGAGCACACAGTGGCACCGATGTCGAGAATCTCAAATGTGGGAAAGAGCTCACAGGTGCACACACCTTTATAAGTGACCAGTGACCCTCTTCCAAATAGCACAACCTTTGTTGGCAAGCCCAAATAAATGTTATTATTCCCCAAGCTGTAATTTAAGGGGAACATTGTGATGGTTTAGTTAGAACCACTCTCTCTGGGATCCCACAAAGCACACACAGGTCTTTCAGGGGAAATTTTGGCTCAATAAAAAAGAATTATATACTTGACATGGTATCCTACTATTAAAATTTGGTAGCTAATCTTTCCCAAGAAGAGAAAAATCCGTAAACAGTCAGTGGTCAGGCGCTGCAGTAGTTCAGTGGTCAGGACTCAGGCACCTGTCAGACCATTTCAGTGTTTCTTTGGCTTAAGAAGTAAACATTTTTCCAGAAAGGTAGCTTATCTCAACTTGATAAAATTATCTTTTAAAAGCAATAGTCATACTGAATGGGAGGAAAAATAGGCATTTTCTAATGGCGCTCAGGAGCAGGGCCAGGATGCTTCTCCTCAGTGCTGCTTTTTGACATCACACTGAAGTCCTAGATGATGTGAGGAAAAAAGGAAGCAACATAAACAACATACAGATTTGGAGGAGGAACTAAAACTGTCTTTGTTCACAACTGACAAGACTGTATGTAGAAAACCCAAAAAGGCGACTGGAGAGATGGCTCAGTGGTTAAGAGCACTGGCTGCACTTGTGGAAGACCCGGGTTTGGTTCCCAGCACCACACGGCAGCTAACAACTGTCCATAACTCCAGTTCCAGGGGGTCCAACACCCTCTTCTGGCCTCCATGGGTATGGCATGACATGGGTGCACTTACATCTACATGCAGGTAAAACACTCATACATATAAAATAAAAATTAAAAAATTTTAAAGAAGAGGAACTCCCAAAGGACCAACCAAAGAAAGGAAAGAAAAGGAAGGAAGGAAGGAAGGAAAGAGAAGAAGAAGAAAGAAAACCAGCAAGCACAAACAAAAAACAAAGTCCCAGAACCCAGAATTAACAACTCATGAGGTGTTATACTAGCACTGTAAGATACAAAGTCAGTATACCAGCCTGGCGTGGTGGCACATGCCTTTAATCCAAGCCCTCAGAAGGCAGAGACAGGTGGATCTCTGTGAGATGGAGGCCAGCCTCATCTCCATAGCAAGTTCCAGGCCAACTGGGGCTATAGAAAGACTCTGTCTCAAAAAAAAAGTTAGTATACTAGCAATAACTTAATACACTACAGTGTCATTTGTATCCATAACCTCAAATACAGTGGTCAGGAAAATTACAAAATTCAGATAAAAGATATGAAAAAATTAAGAATTAGATGACAGATTAGAGAAAGACAGCCTGTAATGTCAGGATTGAAATGAGTTGGGAAACAAAAGATAGAATTGATACTGCAGAGAAGAAAAGCTTTAGAAAGTTCAAAAGAGACCATAGTCAAAAAGCCCAGAGAAACAGGAAGGCTAAGCAGTGAAAGAAAGGAACCAGATCACCACTCTGGGGCAGAGATGGTAGAGCCTAAGACTCTCCCACAAGGAAAGTCAAGAGGCCTGGCTAGGAACAGGACAGACCCACAGCTCTTACAAGCATCAAATCTGCTTTGGGGATTTGGTCTAAACATGCCTTCTTCCTGACAAGTCACCATGGGAGAAGCCCATTTTTGTGCTTACCATACCAAGAGCTATTTCCAAGCTGTCTTGAAAAGCATTGTATCATTTGACACTGAGCCTCTCTGGGGTCCCATAAGGGAGAATCACATGTCATGGTCTACATAAGTGTCTGTGAGACACTTAGTCCTAAGTGACACATCTTCAGTGCAACCCCTACACTTAGGATGAATATATCTCAACTCTCACCAAATAAATTTCCTTATGCAGCAGATGGTGATTAACACAGAAACCCCCAACTGGCCAATGTGTAGAGAACAAGAGACTACAGAGTGCTCATCTCTGAATAGGACACCTATATCAAACCTCTGCCTCCCAAGGCTCAGGGATCATTGTGGAAGAGGAGGTGAAAAGCCTGTAAGACCCAGAGGGGGTGGATGACCACAAGGAAACAGTCTTCTGGACAGCTGGTAATTTACTCATATGAACTCATAGCAATGGTGACACCATGCACAAGTCCTATACAAGCTCAAACACAGAATTTATTACCTTATACCAAAATAAATTATAAATGAATCAAATATTTAATAATATATTAATAATTATTAAAAGTATAAGGAAATAATTTAAAATATAACTTCAGAACTTGTTCTCTCTAAATATGACTCCAGATGAATTAAACAAAAAGATATTAAACCAAAAAACTTTGAAATTCCATATTATTCAAACTCCATACAAACATTTAAAAACTGGAAAATTATGAATGAATGTTTTATTATTATTTATAATTTTTATTTTTATGTATATGAGTGTATTGCCTGCATGTATATAAGCGCATCCATGTCATGTAGTACTCATGGAGTCAGAAGAGGGTGTCAGATCCCCTAGAACTGGAATTATGAATGGTTGTTTGCTGCCATTTGGGTGCTGGGAACTGAACCCTGGTCCTCTGCAAGAGCAGTCAGTTCTCTTAACTGCCAAGCCATCTTTCCAGCCCCAGAGAATGAATGTTTTAAATATTATGTGAAAAAGATAATTTCCTAATATGAAAACTGTTCTTATAAATCAGAAATATACCTTCCATCTAATGGAAAAAAAATGTACAAAGGCCAAATTTTTAAAATTAAGTAGCCACAATACATAAGATGCTCAACCACATTAGTAACACAGGAGATGGACAGTAAATGTACATTAACTATGTTGATTCACCACTTTTTATTTGATCAATAAGACACGAGTTTTTTAATTAAGGAGAAGCCATGAAGATAGAAAGACTCATACACTATGTAGGAGTGTATATCAATAGATTTTTGTGGCATGATATTAGATAATATCTATTAGCAAAATGTAGGCTTCTATTAGATACTTTTCTCATTGCTCTGACAAAAGTAACTTAAGGAATGACATATTTATTTTGGCTCATGGTTTGAGGAGACACAGTCCTTCATGTTGGGGAAGGCATGACAGGTAGAACATTAACCTGTTGGTCCCTCAGTCAGGAAATCATAATGTCTCTACAGTCAGCAAGCAGAGAGACCTGGGTGTTGGTGCTCAACTGGTCTCCTTTTCTTTCCCTTCTATTCAGTTCAGGACCCCAGTCCCTGGAATGGTGACACGCACATGCAAGGTGGAACTTTTTCTTTTCTTGGCAACATCTTCCCAGAAATATGTGTAGGTGTGTCTCCTACATGGTTTCAAATCCCAGTAAGCTGACAATGAAGGTTAACATCAGAACATCCTTTGACCCAGAAATTCACCTTCTGAGATTTGACATTACATATGTGAAAGTGACATTTATAGGCTATTTACTACTATGTGTGTACAAATCCAATGGGCAAACCACAAAATCAAAAATAACAAACATAAATGTCCACTGATAGGGGATGGTTAAATACATTTGGTATGGCTTTAAAATGGAATAATGAGTCATTAAAGAGGAGAGTAACTTATTATATCAGTACATATATATTATATCAGTAAAAACATAATATATATGATATATTTTGATATGTGAAGGTATTTTGAGTGGAAAAAGTAACAACATCTTTTGGATAGTATTACATATGTATTTTCAACTGTGTAATTATTGGTATGGTTTTATATACACTAATTGGTGACTGAGTCACAAATATTTGACAAAGCATACCCATATAGGACTTCAATAAAAAAAAACTGACAAGAGTGTGCATCTTTGGAAGAATAATTAAGTGGCTAAAGACACAAATCAGATGATGACTTCTCGCTATATCCCATTTCACAAGTTCCAAATTTTTTACTATGCGTATCTCACAAACTAAAATTATGCAGTTCTGTGAATGAGCATTTAAGGTTTTATTTTTTTACAAAGTTGAACACATTTCTAATCAGGCTAAATTTTACAATAACAATAAAAAGAAACATTTGTTAGCAAATTTTCTTATTAGCATTTAAATTTTTCTGACTTTTAATTTGAGACATTCTTTCATTGTACTACAAAGGGAGAGCATGACTTGTGTTTAGAGCCTTTCCATTTAAAGTGGTCTGGAGATTATCTTCTTTTAGCAAAGTTTCTAAGTAAGCATCAGTCTGCTCCAGATCTCCCACTGGACAGTCCTGGAAGAGAGAAGCCACAGTCACTCCAGGTGAAGAAGCTTCAGCCTACTGCACTGCCATTCTAGTCCCCCTTCCCTTTTTTTGGCTACATTAAATGTGGATTAGCAGAGCCATTTCTACCTTAGGTTTGCTGGTCCTTACCAGGGCTCCCACCTTTATGGCTGTGGCTATACTGCCCCAGATGGGCTTGCATGGTGATGGTATTTACCCAGACCACCAAATATAATAACTCTTGAGTCCTGACACACGCAGGTCTCGGCCTATTAGGTATAGTCTAATGCCTTGACTATTACTCTCTGCCCTGCTCTGTTCTTTTGCAGACCCTCACCTTGGTCCTCTGTTCTACTCTACCGCCACTGCTCTGGCAATCAGAAAAAATAAAAATGGGAATTTCGAATGAGGGAATGACAGTTATGTGTCTGGGGCAGGGCCCTTTGAGTTATACTGGCCCCTGATACTAAGTAAAAAGTTTCAGATGCTGGTGACTAAAGTCCTTCAGGTTTCTACTAAACTTTCTGAATAAGGAAAATTAAATTAATGTGTTTACTCTGGCTACTCTGGGGAAATACAAGGGTTTGGCATACAAAGTAAACTGTGCTTTTAATTTAGGGAATTATTATTCTTTTCTTTTTCTCCTACCTATTATTTTCCTTTCTGTTATGAGAATCAATATACTTTTTTGAACTTTTCATCATATATATATGTACACAGTCCTTGATTACATAAGGATATAATGTAGTTTGAAGGACTTCCCCTTCCATGGGTCCACCTCTCCATTCTAACCCCCTCCAAGAGTCCCCTTTGTTCCCCTAGGCAGCATCACTTCTACACATGTCATATAAAGAAATGTTTTCATGTATATAAATATACATGAAAATACAATGAGAGAAAATATAACATTTGTCTTTCTAACAAGTCTCTAACTAAGATGATCTCCAGTTGCATCCATTTTCTTGCAAATGACAGAATTTTGTTGGTCTTTATGGCAAAAAAATTCTATCATCTACATAAACCACATTTCTTTATTCCTTTGTAGATGGACGCCATACCTTACCTTACCTTAGCTATTATGAATAGTGCTTCATAGAATCAATATTTTAAACAATTTTTATGATAGAAATTGGTATTCAATTTCTATGGTGCAGAATTTCACTCATCTTGGTAGTTTCTTGAAATTGAAACAAAAATCCTCACTGATTCTACCATACACCAAGTTTCTTACCAGATTATTTAATGTAACAAAACCTTTACATGTATAAACATTCATAGTCACAAGAACCAAAAGGAGTTCCACTTACATCACACAATCCAAGCAATTATTACTGCTTCAAGAATCAGCTGCAGTGCTGCTACTGGTAGAAGCACAGATACAATTCCAATATGGAAACATTTAGCATTAGTGTTCTTTGTGCACTTTAATAATGCAACATTTTAACTGTTGCCTTGATCACCAAATATAAGAGGGATTTCTCTTTTGGCAGTATATTAAAAATTGAGCAGAAATGTTTTCTGCATCTCATTTTGTATTTAATAAAAGATTCCTGATAAATCAAGATATACATATATTTAAAGGGAAAATAACTCCCATCTTGGGATGTCCTCAGTGTAGACAGAAGCCCATGCAGCCTGGACTCAAATGTGTTCAGCACAGTCTGTAGTGATGTATAGTGAGCTGGCTTATCTCCCAGTCCATGCAAGGACAAACCCATCTCAGATCTCGAGGTTTTCTATAGGGTCATTTCCTGCCATCTTACACTGTACAGTCCACAAAATTCCTATCTGATGTTCTCTAGCTAAGGTCAAAATATCATATACTCCTTACTGTTTTGGTTTGGATTTCTCTATTTACTTCTGAAATCCACAGAAAGCTTTTTCAGTCTTAAGTAGTCTAATTTAGTTTTTGCTATATCCAACATTTCTATGTGCTATCTGGAAAAAAAGACCATTTATAGGAGTGGAAGGATGTGACCAAAATATGTGACACACTTGGAAGAAAATGTCTATGAAGCCCATCACTATGAACAGTGAAGATAAGCCATTAAAAAAGAAGATAGTCCAATCTTAATTAGTTCAATCTATTAATGGAGCTCATTTCTTTATACATTAAAATACACAAACATAATTGACAGGAATTCATATTTACATGATATTTCCTGACTTTCTAACCTCTCCTCTAATATTAGGATGATTTATCTTTATTTATGTATGAAGACAAAACTGAATTACAGTGTCTCACTTTCTTAAAAAGTTGGAATTTTTCCTAGTAGGCACATGGCATTGAGGGGAAGCTGAAGTTCATAACTGTCATCCTTAGTGTTGTCAACTTGACAGAATCTAGAATCATCTGGGAGACAGGCCTCTGGGTAAGCCTGTGGAGGATTATTTGACTGTGTTAAGTGAGATGGGAAGACCCTCACACTTAGGTGGTGTCATTCCCTAGCTTGGATCCTGGACTGTGTTTAAGTGGCGAGAGATGCTGAGCAGTGACATTGCTCTCTGCTTCTTGACTGGATGCAATGTGATTAGCTGCTTCAAACTCCTTGATTTCCATGATGGGGTGTATCCTTGAACTGCAGACCGAAATAAACCCTTCTCCCTTACGTTGATTTTGTGAGAGCATTTTATCAGAGCAACTGGAAAAGAAATTAAGATAACCATCTACTAACAGCACAAGCAAGGATTCTGGTGTTTCTTAGGAGAACAAAGTACAGACTAATTTTAAATGTTTTAATACATGCCATCAAAGTTAAATTTACCTATGATTTCGTAAGGTTAGAATCTAGGCCAGACTGCTGCTCAGGCCACAATACCTGCATCATGTCTTGTCCTCTCACAGATACTGACAGGCACTGTACTGAGGGCATTGCCTCTGAATCTCTAGCTAACAGATTTCACAAACTTCCAAGTGAAATTTCTCACTTGGGGAAGTGAATTTATATCAAATGGAGTAATGTCGGCTATCCTAGCTACTTTTCTATTGCTGTGATAAAATACAAACTTGGGGAGGAAAGGGTTTATTTAGGTTACATGTCCCAATCACAGTTCATCATGTAAGGGAGTCAGGGAAGGACCCTGGAGACAGTAACTGAAGCACAGACCATGGAGGAATGCTGCTTACTAACTTGCTCCTCTGGCCTGTGCTCAGCCTGCTTTCTTTATACAACCTAGGACTGCCTGCTCAGGGATGATAGCACTCATGGTGGGCTGGGTCATCCCACATCACTCAACAATCAATAAAATGCCTCACAGACATGACCACAGTCCAGTTCAATGGAGGAAATACCTCAATTGAGGTTCCATCTTCCCAGGTGTGTAAACTGACACCTGAAGCTTAATCAGGAAAGCGGCCATACATTATGCCACCAACTTTTCCCTGCTTCCTGTAAGGGAATCAGATAGCCTGGCTGCAGGCACCTGCTTTGAAACATCCATTCCCTTCTGAAGAGAGAAATGAGAAAAGATCATGACTCTGCCTGATTCCTCTCTTCAGGGCCTTCTCCACAGTGTTTCTCAAAAATATTCCCACTATTCACATACAATTCCATCACTCACCAGCCGAAGTTTCTGCAACAACAACACCAGCTTTGTGCGAAGGCTATTCAGTTTATCCTCGGCCACTTTTTTCTTTTGTTCACACTGTCCCTGAAAGACTTCATTAAGTATTCCTCTTCTATTTGCCTCATAGATAATGGCCTGAATTTTCCTCTTCAGCCTTTTCTCATATTGGATCATGTAAACATTCTGGATCTGGAAATATATTTTTTGAAAAACGTCTTAATATGCTTTTTTTTTGGTCTTTTTGAGAAAGGGTCTCCCTGTAGACCCAGCTGTCCTGGAACTCCCTATGTAGACCAGGCTGGCCTTGAACTCACAGAGATCCGCCTGCCTCTGCCTCCAAGTGCTGGGATTAAAGGCGTGTGCCACCATGCCTGCCTTAATATGCTTTTAAAACATTATTATTTCCCCTAATATTACAAGGCAATTTCACACTCCAACTCAGTACATGTGTACCAAGTATTAGTATGATACTTGAACTCACTGTCTCTGGTGGAGTGGAAAAAGAAGAAAAACTTACCATATTCTAGTAGTTATCACAGAAGGAGTAGAGAGGCACACCATGGTAAGTTTGATCACCTTTGCTTTGGAATGAAGAGGAGTCGCTGAAGGTGGAGTTTGTTCTCCCACCAGTAATATAAAGCCATTCCGGACACCGTTCCTAGCCACTGGCAAAGGGCCAGTCCCTTGGACTGTCTAGAAGGTGATGCAGCATTATAACTCAAGTCTGTACCGTAGATAAAGCACAGAGGTGGCAGAATAAGAATTCTGCTCCCTTGCTCTTCATAATAAAGATTCTGATGTAGTGTGTGGAAAGGGCCCCCAAACATGCCAAGGATCTAGTGTCTGGGTTGTTTTCCAAGATGGTATGTTGCTCCCGAAGGCTCCATTAAATGGAAAGAAGCAATGAAGAAGCCACATGCTTCCATCTGAGAATGGTATAGTTTACTTGTATTGGCATTTTAAGAGGGCCAGTGGGAATTATGAGAAAAGAGATACTGGGCAAATCTGCTTTTGATAAACATGTAAGAATTTCTATTGTAAGGAGTTTCTGTGTTCTAATGTGGCTGATTTCCCAGGAAAACTGTAAGGTAGCCTCATTCATCGCCTAGGCCTACACTCTTCCCTTCAGCACCCTAGTTCATAGTCGCTAAAGTATGTGGATTTCCCCCATGCTGTCTACATCTGTTAGTCACATTACTCTCATAAGCTTCTCTTCTTTCTATAAAATGTTTAAACAAACAAATCAAATTTACATGTCTATAGCTTTGTTTAATAAACATTTACTCTTCCCAAGTAAAGGCATCACAGTTAATTATTACTGATACAAAGATGTATAAGGTACTCTTTGTCCTCGAACACCTTCTAGCAAGAGATATTGCAACTATACAGATTCTATCTTCTGTGAGGAAGGGTACTGTGCCACCGCTGGACTCAGGTGTTGTAGTGGAGAGGAGGCATTTGTTTCACCACAACAAGGAAATGAAATCAACCTAGATGTCTATTAACAGTTCTGCAAACAAATCTTATATTTTTCAGAAGTTTAAACTTCTGGAAGCGCATGTGATACAGCAAGAATTAAAGTTTTAACCTGACTTTGCCTAACTCCTACCTTCTTTTCTGAATTCCAGGCTTCATTCTTCCATGCATATTCCAAGCTCACACCTACCTCACTCCCTTTGCTCTTTCTGTGTTCTCAGTCTAACAAGTTCCACCCCAGATGTACACACAGCAACTTGCCTTAGGTCTGTGTTGAAATATCATCTTCTTTTTCACTGTGAATGGCCCTGAACAATGGTTTGATGGCCTACTGGGTCATATTTATTTACTTATTTATATTGTTATCTGTCCTTGTAGGACTCTACATTATATTTGTGTTTATCTGTCTCTCCATACAATCTACATGTTTTTAAAAAACTGGCTGTTGGGGGCTGGAGAGATGGCCCATTGGTTAAGAACACTTGCTGTTCTTGTAGAGACCCAGGTTTATGGTTCTCAGCACCCATATAGCAGCTCACAACTGTCTGTAATCCTTTCAGGGCACCAGGCATGCACATCATACACATACATACATGCAGGCACTCACACATACACATCAAATAAAATAAATAAATATTTCAAAGTTGTTTTGATATTGTTCAACTCCACATTTCCAAGGTCTGGCATGGACCACTAAACGGGGCTGGAATGGGGAGGGGGGAGAGATCCAGAGCTCCAGTGGCATGAGGAAGCTTCAGACATACAGGGCAGTCTCCCCTCCCACCCTTGCCAGGTTGTATTTGGATATCTTGTAGGAAATCTACTTTTCTGTCTTTAAGTTTAGATTCATGTATCTATTGAGTAAATATAATTTTGGGTAATTAACAGTATATCTATTATCTTAGATGTTCATCCTCTCTTTATAGTGAGTACATTTAAAATCTGTTCTAACTACTATGAAATACATTAATATACATACTAATATATATTAAATACCCAACGTGTTATATATTATACTTAATGAAATATTGTGAATTACTACATATTATACATAATGAAATACTGTGAATAGCTTCAGTTGTCAACTTGACAACACTTGAGAGGAGGGAACCTCCATTGGGGAATTTCAGATTGGCCTGTGGGCATGTCTATGAGGCATTTTCTTAATTGTTGAGTGATCTAGAAATGCCCAGCCTCAGTGCCATGCAGGATGGCAAAAGCTAAAGAATGTAGAACTCTGAAAACAAAAGGACTGAAGGTAACTGGTGAAATATGAACCCACTGTGGGTGGTGCCACCCCTGGGCAGGTGATCCTGGGTTGTATAAGAAAGCAGAGTATGGGCAAGTGGAGCAAGCCAGTAAGCAGAGTTCCTCCATGGCTTGTGCTTCAGTGCCTGCCTCCAGATTCCTGCCCCAAGGTTCTGCTTTGACTTCCTTCAATGATGAGCTGTGATTAAGATGTAGAAGCCAAATAAACCCTTTTCTCCCCAAGCTGGTTTCGGTCAGTGTCTTATCACAGCAATAGCAAGCTAAGCCAGCCTTTGTGAGTTCACACTTTTATACTCAGGCAAACTGTATTCCCTTCAAACACTACAACCCAGTTCCACAATTTATTCTTCTGTTTTTCTCTTACTGATTTCTCCAGGAAGTATCTATTTAAGTTAATAATTTTGACAACTTTTGAAGCTCCATGTAAAAGGTACCTAGTTGTATAAACACTTTAATTAAGGAGATGAGAGAGTTAAACTGTAACATATTGGGAAGGCTTGGCTCTCCTGGTTAACTCACTCCTCTAGAAGTATTTGTTGTAGATCATAAATGGAATTGTTCCCAAACTCCATTAATTCAGAACAGAATTAGGATTTGAAAGAAAAAATATTCAATTGAAGTTTCAGTTTTCTGCCTTGAATTTAGAAAGTCCAGCTCTTAGCAGTTCTGCAGCTCTGGAATCCTGCAAAATACAGAAGGACTATACAGTCCGTAGATTGAGTGGCACACAAGCTATAACTGTTTCTGTAGACAGGACTAATCAATCTCCTTAGATTCTGCAAAAAATATTAAGGTCAAAATGCATTCAAAGTTACTAAATGTCACTAGAACAGAACTTGAGAGGATTTGATTACTGCCTTCTAGGACTATAATCTAGTTGAGGAGGAGAAAGCAAAACCCAAGGAAGTAATATAATTAGGTAGAAATAATAGTGAGAAAATAATTTTGAGGTTCTCTCAAAACACAGAGAATTGAAGACTGATAGCATACAGAGAGACTGAGGAAGGCTTCGTGTAGAAGATTACATCGAACAAGGTCTGTGTAGGGTCTTCAGGGGACCCACTGTGGACTGGCAGAGTGGATGAGAGTATTCTGGAGTACAGGATGGGGAAGGGCTCAGAGGTAGTTCTCAGGTTGGAACAATGCTGGGATATTTGCTTTGCATGGAGCAGGTGGCTTGTGAAAGGAAAGAACAAATGATGGTCAGGTCAGACAATGCCAGGCCCCCAATGTTTTCATGAACTACTCTGACAGCAGTTATGAAAATCACTCATGTCATCAGAATGAGATGACATGTACAGAATATATACCCTAAAGCAAATCACATGCTTTGTCTTCTATATAGATTCCAAGAAATTATTTGTATATTTTTTAATTTTTAATTTTTTATTTTAAAACAAATTTGTTTATTCAGCAACAGTGGTACATTTAGAATTATAGCCAAAAAAAAAAAAAAAAAGAATTATAGCAAACAGTGAAAAGAAGCAAGTTTCTTAGTATTTTTAAATTTCTGGCGTGTTGCTCCTGGAGATTCAGGGACAATAAATCAGTATTCTCAGGAAGTCTCAGAAATTTCATGTCTGTGGTTATTTTAAACATACTTGTAACAATCTTTACACTATTATTTGAATAGCTGAAATTTTTGTTTAAAGAATAAAACACTAAATTTAGTAGTACTTATAAAGAACTACAGCCCATAGGAATATTCAAACAATGAAAAACATAATTTAAAATTCAGATTTCTGAGTCAGTTAACAGCCCATATGATATGAAACCATATGTGGACACTACTCATTTAATTTGGAAATAATTTTTTAAAAAGAACATTCAAATTCTTATCCTCATAGACATGACTACTGAAACTATTCAAAATCTTCCCTTTTAACACAGACACCACTGCTCCAGTTAGAAAGCAGCATACCCCTGCACAAAGATGAATTGCTTAGTAAATGCCATTATTGAAATTTTTCTGTGTAACTATTCATGAGAAATAATTTACTTTGCTTCTTACCACCAATTTCATCTTAATTTAGAATTTGTTCTGTTTCTTAGTACTGTATTTATTTGCAACACTCCACTATTTTTGAAAATTAAATATTTTTTTACACCCACTTCCCAGATAGCACCCTCCCATAGCCTCCCTCCCCCCACTAGGGCCCTTATACTCTGATATCCCTGCTGCTGTATTTGTATATTTTTATAACTATTCATCTAAAGCTACCAATCTTTTAAAAAGTCCTTAAGACCAAGCAGTTTCATTGCTCATGAAGTCACAGTTCCAATTATTCTGTGTCTCAGATTCGACCAGAGTGTCTAATCTCTTCACCGTGTATTTTGCTGTGAATCCTTGACACCCACTTGCTGTGAATATCAAGGAATTTTTACTCATCATCTGCTAACACCTCACCCTGAATAAACACCTATGTTCACTCTGGGTTCAAAGA